CTTAGCTGGAGACAGCATGAGCAAAATAATAATCATATGAAAAATAATTCCTCCTAGCTCAGGAGCCCATGGTGGGGACCAGCCCTCTCCCAATGGGCGAATGGTCTGGATGACCTGTGGGTGCCCCTCCCCCTTTTCCCAACCACAGGACGGAACAGCTGCTGAGACTTCAGTGGAAGTCTTTGGATGCTCTTTGCATGCTCCAAAGAGCCAATGTGGATACTTCTGGAAACAGACGGCTTGGAGTTCACTTAAACACTCAGCAAGTGTTCAGCCAATCGTGCACTGCCAGGAGACACAACAGGCTGTCTCAAATCTAGGCCCAGAGTTGGAAACAGACCTGCCCTGCCCTCCAGCAGATTATCCTCTACATCATGGGGTTTTTGTTTTATATGTCTTTGTGCCGATTCTAGGGCTTAAACTCAGGTCCTGGGCACTATCTTTGAGCTTCTTTTACTCAACACTGGTGCTCTACCATTTGAGCCACAATACCACTTCTGGTTTTTTCTAGTAGTTTATTGGAGATAAGAGTTTCACAAACTGCCCAGGCTAGCTTTAACCTCTATCCTCAGATCTCAGCCTCCTGAGTAGCTAGGATTACAGGCATGAGCCACTGGCATCTGGATAATAAGTCATGTTTTAAAAAGACCGCAACATGGGCCGTAGCCTCAACTACACTAACATGTCTCACGGGATGCTGGTGAGATACTCTTACAGAAGCGAGTGGAAGAGCAGTTAGCTGAGGGTTAGAAGGAAGAGGGGAGGGAGGAAGGATGGAGAGGGGCTAGAGAGGAATGGCTATTGACGGGTACAGCTGGACAGGAGGAATAACCTCTCCATTCTACAGCACAATAGGAGAACTGGTTGACAACATGAACTGCTTATTTCAAAATAACTAGTGGAGAAGATCTTCTCTTGAATGTTCCAGAAAGAAGGGGTGTGTTGGAGCTAATGGGCATGCCAATTACCCTAATCTGATTCTTATACATTGTATAGACCTAATTTTAAATGGGGATGTGGCTCAGTGGTACAGCACTTGCCTAGTATGTACAAGGCCCTGGGTTCCAGCTTCCAACACTTCTGGGTACTGGTGGCTCACACCTGTAATCCTTGTTACGCAGAAGGCTGAGATCTGAGGATCATGATTCAAGCCAGCCTGGCCAGAGAAGTCTATGAGACTCTTATATCAAATTAATCACCAAAAAGCTAAAAGTGGAGCTAGGGCTCAACTGGAAGAGTTCCAGCCTAGAGTGAAAACAGCACCCAAGCCCTATTCAAGCCTCAGTACAGGTGCGTGAATGTGCATGCACGCACGCGCACACCCATACTACACATATCACACACACACACACACACACACACACACACACACACACACACACACACACACACAGAGGTAAGCAGATTTAATCCAAAAGCTGAGCAGCCATTTTGCTGACTACTGGGTATTATCCCATTTAATCAACTTGGTGATGTCCTTGTAAGTTCAATATCATTATTCACATTTGTAGAGGTGGGAACATTAAACGCCAGATAGAAAAAGTTAAATTTACACAGTGACAGTGAGGCCATGCCCCAAACTCCCCAGAATTGAATCCTAAGCTCCCCATCCGATTGCAGCAGGGGGTGGGGGGTGGGGGTGGGGGAGGGGATGTGCGTATGTGCATAGGTGTGGGTGTGGGGTGTCACCTGTGTGTGCATGTGCATAGGTGTGGGTGTCAGGTGGGGGTGCACGTGTGGGTGTAAGTGTGTGTGGGGGGGTGTCAGGGATCTGGATATGCACATGCATGGATGTCAGATGTGGGTATACACAGGTGTATGTGCACAAGTGTAGGTAGGGGGTAGGGTGAACGTCTGTGCCCGGGGGTGTGAGTGACTCGTGTCTTACAAGACATAAGGACAGCCAGGTTGGCACTGGCTTGGTAGAATACTGAGGAAATCTGGGCATCAACCCACAAGGATGAACACCTCAAGTCTGCAGCGCAGTCTCAGCACTGCAGCCTACTGAGCAGAACACGTAGGCAACCAAAAGCAAGTGGCCCACACAGAGCCTGGCCTAGGAGACCAAAAGCGAGCGGTCCACACAGAGCCTGGCCTAGGAGACCAAAAGCGAGCGGCTCACACAGCGAGCAGTCCACACAGAGCCTGGCCTAGTGGCACCTTTGAAACTTGGTCTCACTCTGCCTACCTGAGATAGAACAGGCTGCCAGCCTAACTGGCGGCAGGTTCTCAACTAGGAATTACAAGAATGCAAGATGATTTGCAAGTAGACCCCAAATGATAGGGTACGGTAAAAAAAACAATTCAGCCAGTCATCTGAATTCAATGTAGCAGAAACAAATGCGGTTAGAAACTGACCTCTCAGCCCACAGCCCCCACCAGCTCCAGGGTCTGTGCCTCGCCACCTCCACTTTCCACAGATCTCTGCCTGTCCCCCAACCTCCTGCTGAGCCCCACCCCAAGGCAGTCTCCTCTCCCAGCATGGCTTTCAAGCTCTCACACACATACCAACACCCACACATACACACACAAACCCAAAGACCCAATGTTCCAAGTTAGTGTGGTTTAATGGCTTGTAAATGGCAATCACACAGGTGAGCAAGCGGCAGCATTTAGGACAATGTAAGGAGTAAGCAGGGAGTGGTGTCCTTCCAGACCCTTCCAGCCAGCCAGGTAGGGGTGTGCTTCTACACAGGGGTGGTGCATCAGGACAGTAGGGACTCTGCCTTGCCTGTGTCCAGTATCCTAGGGCCACAGCAGTTTAGGTTGCCAACCTGAGCAGCTCCTGCTACCCCTTCCCCTTCTCAGCTTCCCATGGTCCTGAGGCTGCCACTGCCCACTGCCCACTGCCCGCTGCCCACTGGCTCACTTGTAGCCAGCAGCCTCAGGCCATGGCACACTCAGCACAGACCAAAGTCTTCCTAGGGTTCTCACTGGTATCCTCCACGATGCACTTACCACCATGTGCAACCAAGCTCTTACTTGGGAAACTGCACACTAGACTCTCAGTGCTGACACCAAATTGCCACCCTAGCCTGCCCACCCCAGCGCCAAGTACCCACAGCTGAGTGGCTTCCCAGCCTGTCACTCAGCCTGGCCCCCGAGGTACCATCACCCATCATACAACACACCACACACACACACACACACACACACATACACACACACACTCAACTTCCCTAGACACAGACTATGCACACACACTGTCCACTCTTCCTTTCCCACCATGCAAAGCAGATGCTTCCCCATCTATCCTCCACACATCACCACCTTAGTCCAGTGCTAGCAGTGTTTTCTTAATTAACACTGTGACTCCTGAGATGGCTTGGGCCACCTTCCCTAGTAGTCAGTCCACCAGTGTCATGAAAGTGGGAGCCATGACTGATGGTGGGCCCAGCACTCAAGCCCTGCCATGAGTGGCTGCCTTGAGCCCCTCTATATCAGCACTAGTACCTTTACTGCCTCCAGACCCCAGGGCCTAAAGAAAATGCTCACATGGTTTTGTTTCATAATGTGTTTCTCCATCATGAGCATAAAACCTCATCTCAGAGGCTGCCTCTGAAAGTCTCGGTAACCTGCAGGTTTGTTCATGTGTCACAGACTTATCTCACTGACAGACCTAGCTAATGGCTTGTAAATGGCAATCACACAGGTGAGCAAGCGGCAGCATTTAGGACAATGTAAGGAGTAAGCAGGGAGTGGTGTCCTTCCAGACACTTCCAGCCAGCCCGGTAGGGGTGTACTTCTACACAGGGGTGGTGCAGACCTAGCTAGGGCACTGGGAAGAAGCCACTTGGCATCAGAAACCCTGAGCTGACATGTGTACTGTCCAACGGTTGTCCATCCTCAGAGCTGTGCACGTGGAACCTTCTGAAATGAAAGGACTGGAACCAGTTACATCCCTCCCCATCCCTGTAAGCAGACAAGGCAAGTTCGGTGCCTCCTATTTACAGTCCAGAGCCAATTCCAGCCAAGTCCCAGCTCTAACAGAGGAAAGTTTCAAGGTTTCCCTGGCTGGGCTACAGGGCTGAAAGTTTGCTGCTGCTGCCACCTATGGCAGGAAGTGGGAATGCAGCTCCAAGACCCCAAAGGGGACAGAGGGGCAGCCTTCCAGATGGCCTCCCCACACAGGCCAGAATGGTGGTCCTGGGTCTGATGCCATCACAAGGCCACTTGGTATTAAAATGTTCACCTCATGCCTTGTATGTCCCTCCCCGATGGTATAACCCCTGCTTTCACTATATATGATGTTGGTATATGTGGAGGGGAAGGGAAAAAACAAATTGTTAAAACAGGGATACAGGAGGACCCATTGCAACAATGAGATGTACAAGTCGTTATGTCAAAAAATGAACTTTACAACTTTGGTGGGGGGGGACGGGGGAGAGGGGGAAGGAAGGAGGTTACGAAGGGATGGGAAGGGGAAACAAAGCAAGAGGCTACAATGCTTGATAAGAAATGTGCTCATTATCTTACCCATTTAATTGTAACCCCTCTGTACAGTATTTTCACAATAAAAATATATTTTAAAAAAATGTTCACCCCAGCCAGATGCCGGTGGCTCACACATGTAAGCCTAGCTACTCAGGAGGCTGAGATCTAAGGACAGTGGTTCAAAGCCAGCCCAGACAGGAAAGTCCATGAGACTCTTATCTCCAATCAACTACAGAAAACCGGAAGTGGTGCTGTGGCTCAAGTGGTAGAGTACTCGCTCAGTTGAAGAGCTAAGGGACAGCGCCCAGGCCCAGAGTTCAAGCCCCATGACCAACCAAAAAAAAAAAAATGCACATCCCCGTGTGGCTGAGAGGCTGGACACAGGCGTTCCAAGCAGAAAAGTGATCGGTAACTGTGAGCTACGTGAAGGACCTGCCCAAGAAGAAGGGCTCAAGGTTCCTCTCACTCAGGCTCTGAGACCCAGAACAAGGTCTCACAACCTTGCTGTATTGCTGCAGCCCTGGGCTCGAGCCCCACTGGGGACTAAAAGCAACTCACCTGGCATGGGTGCTGGTCGATTTGGTGGTGTTGACAGTGGCAGTATTTTGGGAGGTGCTAATGTGTATCATTTCTTCCTAGATAAACTGTTCCTCAATTTGACAATTCTGAAAAGAGAGCAAAGGGCTTAGTTAGTAGGGACAGGAAGACCAACTTCCTTAGTTAGCTGATCAAGTCCCAAAAATGAAACCTTGGAGTTTGAGAAAATACCAGATCCCATGCAGCCTGCTGGGGAATTGCACATGGACCCTGGGCACCTGCATGTACACATGCACACATTGACAGGTGTGCACACACTCATGGACCGTGGCATCCCCGGTGGATACGTTCCTGGAAAACATTCAAGTGCCAATGCATCTCACCTGCCCCCACACACACATACACACACACACACACACACACACACACATATACACACACACCACACACACATATACACACACACACAATCACACACACTCACAAATGCAAGCCTGCAGGTATGCACACACATTGACACATGCACACACTAGTGACACATGAGGGCGCACATATACACTCATCCACACTCAGGCACATTCCCACTGTTGCTCCCTTCACCTTCCCTACAACAGCAGAACAGACATTTTGACACACTCTTTGCCTTTAAGTCCTTGCTTAAAACAATCCAATGGCCCACTTGCCCTTGTAACAGCCCCAGGCTGAAACATCACCCTGTTTCTCTAGCTGCCTCCAGCTCCAGAGTTTCCCGGGGCCCCACCACAAAGGTTCCCTCTGACACAAACATTTCTACGTGGATGTTTTGTCACTAGACGTTGGCCCATGTACCCTTTTCCCTTCTCCCTGTCCTAAAATTCTGCAGCTCTTACTTCAGTGTCCCTCAGAATCTTGGAGAGCTTCTTAGATTGCTGGTCCAAGCTCTAGACTCTGATTCTGTCCTGTTTGGAATGCTGTGTCTGGCTAGGAGGCTTCAACTAAGGCTTGAATTTCACCAAGCTTTGAGGACTACATCTGTGTTACCTATGTTATTGGTACATCCAAAGCCAACAATGAGTTCAGAAGGAATATCAGAAGGACGTTGGGCACCAGTGCTCCTGCCTGTAGTACTATTCAGGAGGCTGAGTCTGAGGATCATGGTTCAAAGTCAGCCTGGGCAGGAAAGTCTGTGAGACTCTGGTCTCCAATTAACCAGCAAAAAGCCAGATGCGGGGATGTGACTAAAATGGTAGAGCGCCAGCCTTGAGTAGAAAAAGCTTGAAGACAATGCCAAGGCTCTGAATTCAAGCCCCAGGAGAGGCACAAAACAAAAGAAATAAAGAAGGAAGCCCTTCCCATCCCTGGAACTTGGTCATTAAAGGTAGAAATGCTTCCTGTATCCTCTCATCTCTTCCTCTCTCGCCCTCTCTCTCCCCCTCCCCCTTCTCTCTTTCTCTCTCTGTGTTGGTGGCTTGTGGGGCTTGAACTTAGGGCCTATCTTTGAACCATGATCCTCAGATCTCAGCCTCCTGAGTAGCTTAGATTATAGACATGAGCCACCAGCACCTGGCTTCGTGCTCTGCCTTTCTTCCTTCCCTCCCTCTCCCTTCCTTCCTTCCTTCCTTCCTTCCTCCTTTCTTCCTTCCTTCCTTCTTCCCTTCTTCCCTCCCTACCCTCCCTCCCTCCCTTCTTTCCTTCTTCTCTCTCTCTCTCTTTCTTCTGTTCTTGTGGTAGTACTTGGCTTTAGACTAAAGGCTTTCTGCTTGCCTACAGCCTTTTTTTTTTTGTAGTCATGGGGTTTGAACTCAGGACTTGGGTGCTGTCCTGAGCTCTTCTGCTCAAGGCGAGTACTCTACTACTTTTATCTACAGCTCTACTTCTGGTTTTTTTTATGGTTACTTGTTATTATTATTTTTTTGTCAGTCATGGGGCTTGAACTCTGGGCCTGGGCGCTGTCCCTCAGCTCTTCAGCTCAAGGCTAGCACTCTAGCACTTGAGCCACAGTACCAATTCTGGTTTTCTGAGTGGTTTATTGGAGATAAGAGTCTCACGTTCGGGGCTGGGAAGGTGGCTCAGTGGTAGAGCGCTTACCTTGCATGCTCGAGGCCCTGGGATTCCTCAGCCCCACATAAGCAAAAAGAAAAAAGCCAGAAGTGGCGCTGTGGCTCAAGTGGTAGAGTGCTAGCCTTGAGCTGAAGAGCTGAGGGACAGTGCCCAGGCCCAGAGTTCAGGCCCCACGACCAGACCAAAAAAAAAAAAGAGTCTCATGGTCTTTCCTGCTTTAAACCTCGATCCTCAGATCTCAGCCTCCTGAATAGCTAGAATTACAGGCATGAGCCACCGGAGCCTGGCCTTTGGTGGTTACTTGGACATAAGAGTCTCACAGACTTTTCTGTCCCAGATGGCTATGAACTGTGATCCTCAGATCTCAGCCTCCTGAGTAGCCAGGATCACAGGTGTGAGCCACCAGCTCCTGGCCCCAGCCCTTTTTTGTGTTATTTTTGAGATAGAGACTTCCTGCCCAAGCACACACCCAAGACTGTAGCATGTCACCATGCCCAACTATTGTTTGAAATTAGTGTCTCACAAACATTTGGCCTAGAATGGCCTCAAACCACAATCTTCCCAATCTCAGCCTCCTAAGTAGGTAGAATGACAGGTATGAGCCACCTACACCCAGGTTCCCCACTCTTTTGTGATCAATCAGCTGTTACTGCTTGCTTGACTCAGAAAACACCCTCTGTTCTCTGAATGCCTAAATCCACTGTGACTTCAAATTACTTCTAGATCTTCCTCTTCTCTCTCACTGGTCCACCTCTGTTTTAGGACTTGTCTACCTAAAGAATAAATAAAGTTAAATAAAGTCATATTTCTTCCTTGTTTAAAAATGTATTGGCCTGCCAGGAGCCCGTGGCTAACCTGTGTAATTCTAGCTACTCAGGCAGCTGAGATCTGAGGACTAAGGTTCTGCCTAGGCATAATAATCCATAAGACTCCATCTCCAATTAACCAGCAAAAAAAAAGCCATGCTGAGCTACATACCAGTGGCTCCCAGCTACTCAGGAGGTTGAGATCTGAGGATTATAGTCCAAAGCCAACCCAGGCAGGAAAGAATGAGAGACTCTTATCTCCAAATTAACCACTCAAAAGCTAGTAGTAGAGCTGGGGCTCAGTGGTAAAGTATTAGCCTTGAGCAAAGAAAAATAAGGGAGAGTGCCCAGGCCCTGAGTTCAAGCACAGTACTGGTATACCCACAAAAATCTAGGCTGAAGGCATGGTTCCAGCGCTAAAGCACCAGTCATGAGCAAAAATGCACAATGCCAATTTTGTATATACAGGAACTATGTAGAACCATACAGCAGAGAAAAGGATGAGTGGATATTTTCTCTGGTGACATGCTAATCATGTTTTGGATTAATATTGGCTGTAGTTAAATTGATCTTGTGCAGTGTCCATTTCCTGGTTTTGCTCACTGCCGGGGCTACTTGCCAGGAGAGTACCACTGGAGTGCTAGGTGTGCACAGGAACTTTTGGTATTAATTTGTCAACTTTATGTGAACCTAAAATCATCTCCAAAAAAAATACAAGGTGAAAATCACATGACTATGCAAACTCTTCATTGTGGGGAGCAGAGCAGTCGCTGTGTGAGCGCCCCGCCAGAGCAGTGTGGGCCGTGTCTGTCCACTGTGCCCCGGGTACCCCACAGCACACTCGGGCTGGTCCCACCACACTGTAGTTAGCATCTCCTTCTTCCCTATCCACCTGACACATTTTGATTCCTCCTTCAAGACCTGAGCCATAGCCCCTTCTTTTGTGAGGCCTTCCTGTTCACCTTAAAACCAATGGTACCTGCACAGAGCTCCCTAGCAAAGGTTTGGGCGGTCACTGTCTTGCAAGGGAAGCTAGGGCCTCTAAAATTTCCTCGCTTGGCTGTGGCCCTCAGGGGCAGCAAGGGGGTAAGGTCAGAAGTTGAAGTAACTCCTTGTCCATCCTAGCCATTCCTCCAGTCTCTCCATGAAAGTGAGAATGTAGCTTCTGTTGGCCCTGAGGGTGGAGGGGAGTGAACAGCCCCACAATACGACATCAGTCCCAACCCAACCTAATATGCAGTGAGCAGTCTATTAGTTTTTGTTTCATTCATCTTGGCATGGGGGAGGACTTAGTGTTCCAACAAGCACCCTACCACTTGAGCAATATCTCCAGTCCTTCTGCTTTTAGTTGACTTTCTTGGAAGGGGCTAGGCCTTTTTTCTCTTGACCTGGAACTTGTTACCTGATGCTTTCCATTCATTGGCAGGCACCCTACCACCTGAGCCATGCCTCCAACCAAGGGCTTAGCCTTTTGTCAAAGCCATTCCTATACTCTGGACCAGCCTCAGACCTTACTCCATCTAGCTAAACTTCCCAAGTAGCTAGTATTACAGGAGTATGCTACCATGCCCAGCCTTGCTCCACTAACATTGGTGGACAATCGCTATCAATACTAATACTACAAGGGAAAGAAGCCTGGGCTCATGTTACCCTTCATTCTGGAAACTAAACAATGCCAAATTCTATACAAAGTACATCCCTGACCATACTTCATCCTCAGTTTCAGTTTATCAGGAAAAGAGAACTCTGACACAATGGATGTGGTTACTCTGGGCCCTGGTAAGGTAAAGATTAGCAACTATTATAAAATAAAAATAGTCACAAACTTTCAGATACACTTCTTAGTCAGAGGCAAAAACAACTAAGCGGCTAGTTCCCAGATACATGTGTTCATTTTCTAGAGAAGTAGTGATGTCCAGTTTTTAACAGATGCTATTTATATCAGAATCATAACAAAAGTGCCATCCATCTGCCTTGGCATCTAGAGAAGACATAATTCAGCACAAGGATTAAAAAATGTGCACAAGCCAAATAGAAATGGCACCAGAAGCAAGAATTGTTGGAACTGGTAGGGGTAGGGAGGGGGAATCATCACTGACTAAATTAGAAAAAAATCATAAACAACACAAAAGATTTTGGCAGCTAAGTCCAAATACTTGAGAGAAATCTTCTCCTTGTCTGCTCTGCTAGGAAATGGATACTAGGTTCTATTTTGGGACACACAATGGCAAGTTCTCTCTGTAGCATTTTGTATGTTTCCACTCATACCTGAGTCCCTTTGGGGTCTCTTCATTTTGAGAGAGTGGAGCCAAGCACCAAACCCGGGGTCAAACTGGCTCCCTCACTTATACAAATTTGCGAGCTAATTCCCCTCCACCCATCTAGTTTCCTCATTTGCAAAATGGAAACAGCCGCTTTAAAACCAAGTATTAACAGGGCACTGGTGGCTCATGTCTATAATCCCAGCTACTCAGGAGGCTAAGATCTAAGGATTGGGGTTCAAAACCAGCCCAGATAGGAAAGTCCATGAGACTGGGTTTTTTTTTCCTTTTTTTTTTTTTTTTTTTTTTTGTCTGTCGAGGGGCTTGAACTCTGGGCCTGGGTGCTGTCCCTCAGCTCTTCAGCTAAAGGTGAGCACTCTACCACTTGAGCCACAGTGCCACTACTGGTTTTCTGAGTGGCTTATTGGAGATAAGAATCTCCTGGACTTTTCCAGACTGGGCTGGCTTTGAACCTCAATCCTCAGATCTCAGCTTCCTGAGTAGCTAGGATTAAAGGCGTGAGCCACCAGTGTATGGCTCCATAAGATTCTTATCTCCCATTATCCACCAAAAAGCTGGAAGTGGAGTTGTGGCTCAAGTGCCACCATTCAAAGCTGGTGCTTGCTAGCCTTAAACAACAACAAAACAAAAACAAAAACAACTCAGTGACAGTGCCCTAAGCCCTGAATTCAAGCCCTAGGACTGGCATAAATAATAAAATAAATAAATGAATAGCAATTATTGTCAATGAGCAATCTACAGACAAGGTCTTCATGTGTGTTTTTGTAGATCTGCACTCTCTGCAATTGAATAGCAATCTCAGATTATTTGACTAGAGTTTCTCATGGCACAACTGACCCCCACAAACAAGGGAAGGCTGCTGCTCTCAAGGCTGGGGACAGACCACAGCTCACATGCTGAAAGTACCTACTATTTGGTAATAGCTACCACTGTCAAGTCCTGGAATGTACACGAGGAGAAATCATAGTATAGGACAGAAAATAGATGGACACTCACCAGGCTAAGTGTTAGGTCATCTCAGGGCACTGAAGGACCACCAAGAGCAAACCTAAAGCAGATTGGAAACATTTGGTGGGAGACACTGGCAGAGTTGGGGCACCGGGAGTATGCAAGACTGGGCATGTGTTCACGGAGTCACCACCAAAGAATGAGCAGCAAATGCTTCAAACTAGTCTAGGAGATGGAATCACACCACTCATAAAGTCCCATGAGGAATTCAGAAGGTGTTTCTAGAAACCATTATTGCTCAGAAATTTCTCATTTCAAATCTTCAACCTAAATGCAACAGTGCATATTCTCTCCCTGTGTAATGAGGATACTGAGCCTACACTTTTGTCTTGTAGTAGTAACCTAGACCCTTCCCAGACTCGTGTGCTCCAGGAGAAATTCCTATCAGATCTAGGTAATGGAAAAGACTTTTTTTTCCCAGAGGAAGTAAAAGGCCTATTTACCTGGACAAAATGACTCCAGTTTCTCCATTTTGAAAAAGAAATCATTTTTCCTTGACTTGACAGAGCCCTGCTCTGTAACCAAGTAGACAATGTGATTACTGTCATTCTCCTGGTGCTCTCTTTCTGCACTAGCTGTACTTTCTGTGACCTAGACTTCCACATTTCTATTGAGCACACAAGTCATCTCAACACCTAGCAGGACTGGCAGAGCAGGGACGTCCTGGATGGTGGTAGAGAACCAATCAAGTACTCAGGTTCCATTCAGGCAGTTCTGAACTATGAGCTGCACCATGCTGTGGATTAGCTTTGCAAAGTCCCTAGACCTGTGTCACTAAAACACGGAAGAGTTGATGGTACAGAAGTTCCCACAAGCCACCTATGGGGACTAAATTGCAAAAGGAACGTAAGGCCAAGCTGTGCATTCAAAAGAAAGAGTAATCAGCAAGGTACTAGTGAGTAGTAGTAGCCTTACAACTGCACACAAATAGATGGAGGGAAAAATAACAAGTCAAGTGCCAGGTGCCTGTAAATCCTAGCTATTCAGGAAGGCTAAGATCTGAGCATCAAAGTTAGAGCCCAGTTTGGACAAAAAAAAGTCTTTGAACCTCTATCTCCAATTAACCACCAAAATGTGAGACAAAAGGTGTGTCTCAAGAGGTACAGCACCAACCGTGAGTAACTGAGAGCATGAACGCTGAGTTCAAGCCTCAGTGCAGGCAGTAAATAAATAAATAACCGCATCTGGAAGAAAATAGCAGGGAGAGAGTAAAAGAAAAAGAAAAAGCAGCAGAAAGTGAAGTTCATTCACCCTGGTATGTATTGCATTCATGTCATATAGCCTCTCATAGGTTCAAATACATTCCTATATCTTGACATGAAAGGTATCCTGAAGAATGCTGTGTGGAACATGAATGTTTAAGCACTAATTACAAGATACCATTGTATCATTGTACAAGCCTCCATGTGGGGTACTTTTAGATAAATGCACTTCATAAAAAGATCATTCTTGGGCTGGGAAGGTGGCTCAGTGGTAGAGCGCTTGCCTTGCATGCCTGAGGCCCTGGGTTCAATTCCTCAGCACCACATAAGCAAAACGAAAAAAGCCGGAAGTGGCACTGTGGCTCAAGTGGTAGAGTGCTAGCCTTGAGCTGAAGAGCTGAGGGACAGCACCCAGGCCCAGAGTTCAGGCTCTACAACCGGACCCCCCCCCAAAAAAAAGATCATTCTCAGCCAGGTGCCAGTGACTCACACCTGTAATTCTAGCTACTCAGGAGGCTGAGATCTGAGGATCGTGGTTCAAAGCCAGCCCAGGCAGGAAAGTCCTGAAGACTCTTATCTCCAATAAAGCACCAGAAAACCGGAAGTAGCACTGTGGCTCAAGTGATAGAGCACCAGCCTTGAGCTGAAGAGCTCAGGGACGGCGCCCAGGCCCAGAGTACAAACCCCACGACAAAGAAAGAAAGAAAAAAGAAAGAAAGAAAGAGAGAGAGAGAGAGAGAAAGAGAGAGAGAGAGAGAGAAGAAGAAAAGATTATTCTGGCATGAAAGAACACACTGAATCTTGGCTTCTTTTCTCCATTTCTCCTCTACATTGTGTGGCTTAGTTTTCATTGCTGGCAGTTGAGGCAGACATTCAGGAAGCCCTTTTGTAACTCTGCTATCTAGTAACTTTACACAGTAGATTTAGATACACACCTGTAAAGAAGCTTTATTAAATCAACTGTCTTGTTAACACCAGACTCCTTGGCTGGGCAGGCACCAGGCTACGAAACATCCTGTGAAGCTGGTTCTGTCTCTAGGTGCTGGTCAGCTCAAAGGATCACAGTGTGGATGCCGCAGAAGGTCTTTTACACTGGAAGAAGCAGATGGCTGGAAAAGAGCAACAAAAATAAAAAATGTGAGAGCAAAATTTACAATCTCATGTAAGCGATCTTGACAAAGATCTATACACACCTACCAGGAACCAAGCACCAAAATGAAGGTACAGGGGGCGGGGGAGCAACATAACTAAAATAAAATCCTATGTTCAAAGAAGCTCACAGTAAGGCTGAGTAGGAGGCAAAGGCTCTCAAAGATAATTCAAGGAGTCATGCCTGATTTGCTTTTGAGTACACAGAGCTCAGGTGAATAAATATTTGCTGAGTTGAAGGCGACAGATAAAAGAAAAGATGAAGGAACTGCAGTGTGTAAATTTATTGACATTTCAGTAAATCCACCCCTCTAAAGGCACAACGTAAGAAACACTCTTCTTCCAAGTAATATCACAGCTCCCTTAATGAGGGCAAGCCATCTTGGAAGGCACAGATTTTCAGTAGACAAGGAAAAGGAGTGGAGGGATGATGTTTCTCTGTGTGTGCGTGTGTGTGTGTGTGTGTGATGAGAGAGAGAGAGTGTCCTGGGGCTTAGACTCAGGACCTAGGCACTGTCCCATAGCTTTTTCACTCAAGGCTGGCACTTTACCATTTGAACCACAACTGTACTTCCAGCTTTTTGATGGTTAATTTGAGGTAAGAGTCTCACAGACTTTCCTGACTGGGTTGGTTTCTAACCATGTATCTCAGCCTCAAGAGTAGTTAAGATTACAGGCATGAGCTACCAGTGCCCGGTTCTGCCAGGCCCTACACCGAACCTTAGTGCCTATTACAGAGTGCTTCCAAACAAAGTGTCTGAGCTGGGCAGGCCTAGGGAGAAGAGTGTGAAAGGGCAGAGGAATCAGGCAGAAGCTGTGTTTGGATTCTGCCGGGTGACTTTCCTCCGTGCATGGCTGGAAAAGCCCTTGGGCTGTCCACAGGCTCACGGAGGCCTTGACAGTCTCAGGACCGCGGAGGGGCCCGAACAAGCAGAGGGCGGAAGACCTTCGGTCAACTGGGGAGATTCGGGCGGGCCGTGCCATCTCCGTCCTCTCCACGGCTCCTGTGAGATGTCACGACCCCGACGCTCACCCACCCCGTGGGCGCAGGGGCCTCACTAGGTCACTGGGCCCGAGTCTAGCTCGAGCCAGGCGCTCCGCTGAGGTGCTGGACAGACAAACAGCCGTCCTGGCCCCTGGGTGGGCGCAGTGCGCTGCCCTCAGCGCAGCGGGGGCCCCCGGAGCTGCGGGACCCGCCCGGGTCTGCCGCGGTCCTCACGCTCGCGCGCTGCCGCCCGCAACGAGGGCCGAGGGTCGTGCACCGAGGCCCGCGCCGCCTTACCCCGGCCCGGGTTTGCGCCTCCGCCTCTCTGGGCCCAAATCTGAGAGTGGACCCCAGGCCGCCGGGCCGCCGCGGCCCCGCCAATTCGGCATCTCCGGGACGCTGTTGCCAGAGCGACGAGGACCCTCGCCGATTGGAGGATGGGTCTCCGCCCCTCGCAAGAAGCAAAGCTGCGATTGGTCGCGTGGAGAGTGGAAGTGGGCGGGGACAATCCCACAGGAAGTCCCGCCCCGGGGAGTGCGAAGCTGTGAACGCCTGGTGTGGTGGCTGCAGGCCCGTCAGGTGCGTGTGAGGTGTGGTGCGGGCCGCGACCGGCTCGGGACGAGCTGCCGCGAACCCCGGGAAGGGGCCGGGCGCCGGGGCCCCGAGGAAGCAGATGTGGTTGCCGGACGAATGTACCCGCTTCGGCGCTGGTCAGGGCTGACGAGAGCGCCTGTGCCTTGGTCCCTGCCAGGCCCTTCCTGATGCCAGCGGGAGCGACATTCCCGCCGTCCCGGCTCCCGGGCCCCGCCGTCCCGCGTCTGCCGTGGGCCCTGGTCCCCTCAACGCGCGCACCTGCCAAAGGCCGTGGGCCCGTTGTGCTCTCGCACCTGCCGTGGGCCCCTGCGTCTGCCGCGGGCCCCGTGCCCCCCTCCACCGGGAAGGCCGCCGCGGTGCATGGTGGGTATCGCATCAACGCTGAATAGATGAGTTACTGCCAAGTCACAGGACCTCGTGGAAGCACAAATCATAAAAACAGTCATGTCTAGCTCTGTAAAGCACTTCCCTTTGTTGGGCACCCTTCTAAATGGTTTACAAGTGATTTCATCTTTACCCCTGTGGGAAACTGAGTCACAGACCAGGTCCTTAGGGCAGACTTAGAATGCAGAGGGCAGCACGTGCTCATTTGAAGCCACCTGCCACCCTACTATAAGGTCCGCCCTGGGAAGGCGGGGCAGACCCCTCCTTCCTCTTGGCTAAGTCTCCGCCCTGTACCTGCGGTCACCTAGATAACTGGAACACTTGGGGGCAGTCACCTCACTCCTTCCCCCAGATCACATCGGCATCCAGTGTGGCCACACGTTCTTCTGCTCCCTGGCCTTGATAAGTCCTCGCCTGGCTGTGGTTCCACCTTTTTTCTGGCTGCATGGGCTTCCAACTTAACCTGGGGCAGCCTGCAGCTCGAAAATAAACCTTTCCCCGGCCTGAATACCACGTGCTACGCTCTCTTTCCTCGGCTGCCGATTTAATTTACCTAACACCTACTCACCCAGAAAGGAGGATAGAAGAGGGTGGCTGCAATTCACTGCACCGTCTGCCAGCAGCACCCTGCTGTGTGCTGCTGAGATGGACACGAGTCTGGGCCTGACCAGCTGGCTTCATTCCACTGGTAAACTAGCTTTCTCCCTACTCAGTTACCTCCTGTCACCCCCTGCTCAGACCACCACACTCTCCACTTCACACTGATTCAATAGCCACGCCTTGGGTCTCATTGCCAAATAGGATTCATTAAGAACTGAAAACACTTGGCAATCACAATCACTTTGGTCTCTTCTTTCACGCTCTTTCCCAAAGTGGAAGTGAGTCAGAGTGAATCCCTCCACACATGCCCTTTGTCCCACCACATTAGCTTTCAAATCTCACTCTTGTTTATGTTGGTAGTGGCTCAGTAGGTGGGCTCTGGGAGCCCTTAACGGTCCTGGGATCCTTTACCATTACTACTAAGGTGTTATTGATGTTTCACTCTTAGTCTCCCGTGTGTAAGTTAGGGTTTCTAGACACCAAGGTGAGCATGGTATCTCAAGAGGACGCTGAGGAAGATCTGAGACTCAAGCATCTCGACAGTGTTTAAAGAAGATTGGAGCCGGGGGCTGGTGGCTCACGCCTGTAATCCTAGCTACTCAGGAGGCTGAGATCTGAGGATCGCGGCAAAGCTAGCCCAGGCAGGAAAGTCCGGGAGACTCTTTTGTCCAATAAAAACCACTAGAAAACTGGAAGTGGTGCTGTGGGTCGAGCAGTAGAGTGCTTGCCTTTAACTGAAGAGCGCAGGGACAGCGCTCAAGCCCAGAGTTCAAGCCCCACGACTGACCAAAAAAGAAAAGAAAAGATTGGAGACTCCAGCTGCCTTTTGTCAAACCAGACATTAAGAGATTTGTAAAAATCTTTCTACTTTTTTTTTTTTGTTTGGAAAACTAATTCTTCATCAAAAATACATTAACATTTAATGAGTTTATTATTACTTTAAATGAATTAAATTTTATTAGTCCTATTTTGTAATATGATGACTATTGAGAGACAGTTCATATGAATGAAAGTTCTTGAGGATCTTTAATGATTTTTAAGGGTATGGAAGGATTCAGAGAAGAGAAAGTTTGAGATCAAAAGGGCTTAAACCATTCCCCTCTGTTTTCCAATAGACAACAATCTCAGCTGAGTGCCGGTGGATCATGCTGTAATCCTAGTTACTCAGGAGGCTGAGATCTGAGGATTGAGGTTCAAAGCCAGCCCAGGCAGGAAAGTCCATGAAACTCTTTTATCTACAATAAACCGCTCAGAAAACTGGAAGTGGTGTGTGGCTCAAGTGGTAGAGTGCTAGCCTTGAGCTGAAGAGCTGAGGGACAGCGCTCAAGCCCAGAGTTCAAGCCCCACAACCGACAAAAAAAAAAATTTAAATTTAAATTTAAAAATCTCATTTTCTCTTTTTCCCTCACTTTCTTTTGAAACACATTCTAAAATGTCTTTAGGGACAAAAGGATTCTGTGTAGTTTCTACCCCATTTCTGTCCCTACCCTTCTCAGTAGAGCCAACTACACATGCATTCTGCCCGCTATCATTCATTGGTGAGAGGTGTGGTTGTGGTACCTGGCCATTTTCATAAATAGCTCATCTCTACTTAGCCTTACCTCTCAATAACACTCAACCCAGTTGACTACTCCTTCCTACCTTATCTGCCTCTTTTAACATCACACAAGGATGGAGAATGTAGCTCCGTGATATGGTGCTTGCCTAGTATAGGTAAGGCCATGGCTTCAAATCTCTAGCAACATAAAGAAAAAAATAATCTACACTCAACTACTCAATTCTTAGGACCCACTAATGATTCTCTTCTTATGACTTCAGAGGGTTACCGTCCCTCAGACTCTGCCCTGGGTCTTACTCTTGCTCTTTTCAACAACCTGTACCCTCCCTTGGCATGACTAGCAATCAGCCTTCAGCCATCCATATGGCTCTTGACCTATGCATATACCACACTCTGCTCTCCACTTTTCAGTGCTGGATTTTTTTTTTTAAGAAACTGCCCTAAGGAGCTGGGAAGGTAGCTCAGTGGTAGAGTACTTGCCTTGCATACATGAGGCCCTAGGTTTGATTCCTCAGCACCATGTAAGCAGAAAAAGCTGGAAGTGGCACTTTGGCTCAAGTGGTAGAGCGCTAGTCTTAAGCTGAAGAGCTGAGGGATAGTGCCCAGCCCCACAGTTCAGGTCTCATGACTGACCAAGAAAAAAGAAAGAAACTCTCCTAGCAGGCAACAGACTCTTCATACTTATGCACCTGCCTCTCAGAGCCTGGACACTGTCCCTGAGCTTTTACACTTGAAGATAGTGTTCTACCACTTGAGCCACAATGCCATTTTTGGCTTTTTGTGGTTCATTGGGGATAGGAGTTTCCTGCCTGGGATGGCTTTGAACTGCGGTCCTCAAGTCTCAGCCTCCTGCGTCACTAGGCTTAATTCCCTCCCTAAAGACCCTGTCAAGAAAGCTGGAATGAGGCTTTTGTCCAAGCACAGCTTCTGTTCCCAGCACCACAGAAAACAAATACAAACAAAAATGGTCCCATCTCTAAATATTGGCAAACTTCAAGGGAAATGGAATGATAGCTTCAACATATAAACTGGTAATGAAACCCATAAAAAGAGGGGGAAGTATCACAATGAAACCCTTTGTACACTTTCTTGTGTTACTTAGGATTAAACCCAGAGCCTCATGCAAGCTAGGCAAAGAGCAGGTAAGTCATACCCCCAGGCCTTATTTTATTGTTGTTTGTTTTTTTCAGTTGTGGGGCTTGAACTCAGGGCCTGGGCATTCTCCTTGAGCTCTTTCTGCTCATGACTAGTGTTCTATCACTTTGAGCCATGGTGCCACCTCTGGTTTTGTCAAGGTAATTAGAAATAAGAGACTCATGGATCTTTATGCCCAGACTGGCATTGAACTGCAATCTTCAGATTTCAGTATCCTGAGAAGCTAGGATTACAGGCTTGAGCCACCAGCACCTGGTATGTTTTGTTTTGTTTTGTTGAGATAGGGTCTAGCCTAGAATTCCTGATCCTCAGCCTTTTTTTCCGTGTAGCTGGGATTCTGTTGTTCTTGCTGATGTGCTTTGAACTCCTAAGCTGACGCTCACATTTACATAGCATTGGGTCACCCTGTGGGCTCCTTTTAGGGAGCTCCTTCATTCATTGGACATACAAAGTCCTAAGATGTCACTGCCTGTGTAGTGCTCATGACTGCTTTACATGAGGATGGTAGACTGAGAAGCGGTGATGGAATCTGTTCAGCCACAGCTCCTGTCAGGTCCTTGGAGAAAAACATATGTCAGTTCTTCATCTAGTTTCATGGAAGAAATTGACCAGTATTCTCTATGATGTCCGATTTCAAATTAAGGTTATTCTCTGTGTGCGTTCTCCCCTCCCTCACCCCCACACACCCCTTTAAATGGAAACTTGCATTGGTAAGGCTATTTGGTCCTAGGGTTTTCTTCATGGGAGAAAGTTCTCTGTTCACTGTAAGTCTACTCAGATTTTCTATTTCCTCTCCTATTTGGTAAACTGCGTTCTCCACCTCATCTTTGTTGTCAAACATATTGGCATAACATTTTTTGTTATCCTCGTAGTACAAGGTCTGTTGAATCTAGCATGACCAATGGTCCCATTTTTCAAGACATAAAAGGTTCCTGGGGAATGGAGGGTCTCAGTGCTAAAACAAAACAGGATAGTTGCGGGCTGAGCCGGCCAGCCGGCCTCTGCCACCACAACTGCTGTGGTCTTTCTTCTTTCCGTCCTTTATCAGCTTTATTAGCTTCTTTGAAAATACCACATTTTCAAAAGGGGTGACATTGATCAAGATGCATTGTGCTCACAAA